GTCAACCTTGTAGCTATCCACCATGGTTCGATAATCAACTCGCCTCCAAAGCCATCCATAATCACCTTTCTCCATAAAACAATGACGGATCCAATGACGCCGCTTCACTGGTAACCCACGGGCATGCATGCCTCCTTCCTTCACGACTTCAGCATCGTGAGAAAACAAATCCCCCATTTCTCACGTAGAGACCCGAGCTTTGAATTAATAAATTGACGACATCGACTTGGATGAATTAAAAGTGATAGGATCCAACGATCATTATACGAGATTGAGTTTATTATGGTGGTTCATTTCACTATTTTTTGGCATGTTAAGGAGTTTGTAGGGAAATGATATGTCTACATGACTACATCTACACTCATTTGTCATCACAATCTACACATAATATAAAGGTGAAATGAGAAAAGTGGGACACGAATTTCAAATTTGGTCCACCTAGAGCAATTTTTAAAGGGGTCATTTTGGAAGGCGCAAGTGCGGCCGGTCTATTGAGCACTGAAGTAAAAATCGGATTCAATTTAAGTGGGCCCAAACTGTGATTTGACCCACTAACCGTGAACCTATCACACCCTCGCTAAAGTTTCCCATTCTACTCATCGGGTCATCTCCTCCCCCACAAACCTACTCTCCTCATGCACCCAAAGTTCTCACTAAACCTAATCTATACAAACTAGGCCAGATTCTAACTAGAATGCACAGAGGGAGAAACCGACGGATTGCAGCTACCCTTACTGTTTCGATAGCTAATCCAGAAGACCCCGTTTGTTCAGCTATACGGTGATCCACTTAATAACACATTCTTCTCCATTGGCAGCTTCCTCTCCTCAATTATATTCTGTTCATGAATATACGAAGGCAGCAAATGAAATAGCAGGATAGCTCCAGAGTCGAACATCAGGTAATTGGGGCATTTATTGATAATGATTTGGGATTGTTACAACAAGTACTGAATTTGGAGCGTGCCTTTAAGTTATATTGATTAATAGTGGTTTGTGATTTTTCCAAAGGAGTCTTTAATTTGACATATTTTAGGCCAAGATACAATAATGGTACTGGTATACGTTTATATCATTAGCAACAAGCATATTGTATCCATTATAATATGTCGTTTAGTCAATGCTCAGTTGTTTTTTTCGACAAAAAGTTGTGCTTACGATTGGCCTTAAAACCTATGACTTTGCATTAAATATAAATAACGGTGAGTTATGATTTGATGGTGAAAATTCCAACTATCTAGAAGTAATCCAATGCTTCACTTTCGTTTTGAAGTTTGAAATGGACAAACATGTTAGAAAATAGTCATGTCATACATTAGTGTCGTGGGAGGGTCGTTTCATGTCTCACTGTTTTGGATTTTCTAGAAAAGAGTCTGTCCTCTGGTTGCTCATAGAGAAATGGGTCATAGCAGACAACTCGCCGCGAGTTCAGTATTCTTCTTCTTCTGGCAATTATCTTTTTTTCTTATAAATATTACGAACACTATATTATCCAACACAATGCATAGTTTGATTACTTTATTACTATTCAAGTGGAATTGATAATCCAATTGGCATTCATGTAGATTACTAGTATGAACCTACTCCTCTTTGAATTACATAAATATGCATAGGCGGGTATTTGAAGGAAAATCCTTTCCTCAAATTGATCCCTTTCGCCCCTCTGCAAGTTGTTCCTTTTTTTAGTTTTCCTACCTCAATGTATATGCTAAGGTTGTTTTTCTTGTCTGTAAACTTTTAAGGTTCGAGGAAGAAATTGGAATGTCGTCAACCTTTGACTTATATCATATCAATGTCTAATGTTTCACAGTCAATTTTTGGCTGCTTCAAGTTTTAGCACAAACAAACTTATATATTTTTGTGTGGGTGTCCTTTGTATGATTCCAATTCCAAGAATGAGAAATTTTCTAATTCTCTTTTGGGTTCGAAAATCTTTTGCTATTGATTGGATTCCTACAGTGTGGGTTGTGGATAGAGATCCTTAATTCTGCATGCAACTTTTTCTTACCGAGTTGTGGACATTTTTGCTTATGTTTCTAGCCAACTTAGGTAGCTACATTTAGTGTCTGCTTTGACCCATTTCTCTATGAGCAACCAGAGGACAGACTCTTTTCTAGAAAATCCAAAACAGTGAGACATGACACGATCCTCCCACGACACTAATGTATGACATGACTATTTTCTAACATGTTTGTCCGTTTCAAACTTCAAAACGAAAGTGAAGCATTGGATTACTTCTAGATAGTTGGAATTTTCACCATTAAATCATAACTCACCGTTATTTATAGTTAATGCAAAGTCATAGGTTTTAATGATTATAGTTCATTCCTCTTTTTGACATTACAATTCTTTATGAGTTATGACAAGCTTTATTTTGACAAAGACAAAGATATGAGTATTTTTTTACCTTCCTCACCACATTATCTTTTACTACAACAGCTACTCAGAGTATTCCTCTTTCCAAACATGAGTATTTTTTTTTTCTTGCGAATGCTCACTATGGTGGGAAAATAGACATACTAGAAGGGCATACATAGTATGCTTTCTTCTTTTTAAGTCTGTTTCATGCCTCTGTATATTTTGCAAACATGTTAAATTTGGGTTCTCACCAACATTTTAATCTTCATTTCAATTTGGGTAATTAAATTTTTATTTCTTTTTTCCAAATTTTAATCTTTCTTCTAATTAGGAGAACGGATTCGAAATAGGAGGACAGAAACAGAAGAGAGGATTGGAGGAATAGGAGAATAACATGATAATACTATTTTTCTCAATATTTTAACGTAATGAACCAAGAAGCAAAAATGCAAATATATAAGCATGAGTCTGAAAACCCTAATCCGAGTAATTAGTAATTGCTATCAATACATTGAAAAGCGCGATTCTACCTAGAAGCGGAAAAGGGTAAATTCGTAAAGCATAGAATGAAAGCGTAAAAGCGTAAGTTTTTTACGCATACTTTAAAATAGCTAAAAAACTGTTGTATACTATGTAAAATATGAGTGCACAAAATTAAGATAAGTTAATAATACCTGCAATTCATGTCTAAAGTAGAGCAATTCATAGCATCTTAACAATAAGCCACCTTCCTCTCTATGCTAATGAATTTGGGAAAGGCCTAGCTGGTGAATTATACTACTCTATTGAAGATGAGAATGCATCCAAGTACCCGATTTATTTTTTTTAATATCAAATGTATCATATTGTTGGTGATTTACCGTCAAAATGTACTTTTTATAATTAATTTCATGAAAAGAATATATACCCATTTAGTGAACTAGAAGCGTAAAAGCATAAGCTTTTAAGTTTTAAAACGCAATTTAATATGATTTTATACACTAAAGAATTTAAATGGAAACATAAACGTTTTGGTGACCTAGAAGCGTAAAATCGTAAGCTTTTAAGTTTTAAAACGCGATTTTGACTGCGTTGGTTACTACTAGCTATATATTAATGCCACTAATTACCCTTAATACTATTGTGTCATCACATGTGAATTAAGTGAAGATAAAATTTGTTGCCCATACGTACGAAATATCATCCTATATTGTAGCTAGGACATCACACATATGCTCACTTGGCACTACGCACACCAACACAATTCTGGACAGATACTCTATAAAAAAAACAGGAAACATCTCCAATACAAGAAATTTTAGAATTAAAAAACTTTAGAGAGCCTCAATTCTAAGTATCAATGTTGTAGGTGTAGGGCGGAATAATTTGAATCGTCTAGTTTAGTACTGAATTGAGTTTGCAATTGCAAGCACAGTTTTGCTTTAATTTGTTTGTCAAAGACTTGGCTTCGTACTTTCTCCTCCGCCAAAACTTGGCGATCGAGTGCGTACACGTTTCGGCAATGAAGTGTCGAATCTATTGATGGAGACAGTATTTTCCATTAATTGAGATGCTCACTCCTCACTGGATACATTCCTACAGCTAAACGTCGTCGGATAGAACCAGCATAATAAGGGGAAACCAAGAAGCAAGGAGAGAGAGAGAGGAGGTCGGGGTATGTCTCTCACAATATTGCCGTCTTCAAAGGTTGACTTGGTATTGCCCCGGCCACCGCACCCAAACCGGGGGAAAAAAAAGGTTGAGATTCGGTGGAAGAATAGGGGGCAATGAATAAATAATCACCATCGATCCAGAATTATGGAAGAAAAGAAAGAGAGAGGAAGCATATGGGAGAAGGGAACGCGGCCAGCCGTTTGTCGTTTGTGACTTGTACGTACCTTCCTTTCCTTGCCTGGTTTGAAACTTATTCAAGTTGAGATCATCTATGATATCACACACATCTAAGTTCGGAAGGAAGACGTTATTTCAATAATTCGAGTTAATGTAACAAACTTAATGTATTGTTTCCTTACATGCGTTTCGTGCAGTATAATTTATGCGATGAGCATCTGATATGATAGTTTTCGATTGAGAGTTTGGTTAAATCTTCCAACACAATTACATTAGTTAAATAAATAAATAAATATAACAGATGATGGATGGACCAAATAATAGTGTGGGGTTGAAAGTATTCAATCCCAACTAGAAACAAAGAGATAACAAACTCAGTTGTGGCCTTCCAGAAGATCTAGTGGGAGCTTAAAGCTAAAGCTATTGTTGATAGGAGAAGTTTCTGATAAACTCTTTCTTTGGGCTGAAGAAGGTTGACGCAATAAATTAAAATGGACAGATCGATCAGATAGCTCAGCTACAAGTTCTCCAATCTAAAAGGAGCCATTATTCCACAAAACTCCGCCAGTTTGGTTTGAATTTTTCTCTGCTTCTCTTCCTAGCTATCATATTCATACCTTCACCTTGTTGTTGAGTTAGTTGTTCGCCAACCCACCCCATCTCCCACAGAGAAAGCTACCTATCCGAGTTTTCCCGCAGTCTTTTTGGACACTATTTTTTTTAATTGTCACATCACTCATTTAACGATCAACTATAAGAGTTATAGCCGTCACATCAGTAAAAGTTAACGAAGACTAACGCTCAGTGATCAAACTTGGACTGTTAACTTAATTTAAGAAACTACGGATGAAATACGTTTAGTGACAAACGTCAACTTTTTAAATAATTCTAGTGACCAAACTTGCCATTTAGGCAATTTTTTTTATAAAGAAAAAAAAAAGCAGTAATTGGATCAAGAATTTGCTCACCCACCCAAACTTCCATCTAACCTTCTTTTGGCTCTTCCGCGCTTTCACCAGTGAATCAACACATAAGCGACTAGCTTGTCTTCCCGAAATAAGAGCTTTCTTTTTTCCCATCCAGGCAAAGCATCAAGGAGTAGGTGAAATTGTAACACCGGCAGATTGAAGCTATCAGACTTAGCCAGCAAAGCCATATGCTTTCTTATTTTCAAAGGACCGCCAATCATGTTGTAAACTGTCGACTTTTTTTCTTTACATCTTTTTGTCAACATGTTCTAGAACTCCACAGAGGAAGGAAGGAGTTTAGATGGTAAAATCTGTCATGATCAAGTTATGTCTACCCTCGATTACTTTTATTATCTCCTTCTCAAGAATTGACAAGTGCACTTTTCTTAGGGCATCTCTCCTGATTCACCTCTGTTCAGTCATTTTGCTTACCCACCACCAAAATCCAGGACCAATAAGCCCCTTACAGATCTGTAATAGCCATAGCTCCATCTAGCTTCAACATTACAATTCGCTCTTAAACACAGACCTACTACCATTGCACAACATGTCCTGAAACTGGAGCTTGATGGTTTTCAAGGTACACTACATCTCCTTTCAAAAGAGAAGCAGGGAGATGATCAAGAAAGATATATATTAACTCAGTTAAATATATAGCTTCAATGAATCGACTAGTGTGTCATGTTTTCGTTACTCGGAAATCTCATGCTCAAACTAGAATTACCAAGGAGTTCAGCATGATCAACGGTCAGTTGTCATGAACTGTTATATGTATGCCTAACTACATTACCCACTGAAGACAGCAACTCCTTCCGCCTCATCTCAGTGACCGGTAATTCTAGTGTAACCTGCCAAGTAGCAAGAATCAAGTTCAAACACAGTAAGAGCAGCAGAGTCCTGAACCGAGTGAAAGGCCCTTTTTTCCCCCACAAAAGTTGGGAAGGATTCACTCTTAACTCAACCTATAACAAACCCTAATCCTTACACAAGAATTAGACTGCCTTATTTTCTTAGTCTACTTTCAAGAATGCTTGGAAATGATGCAGAATGTGCCTTCTGCTGTTCTACAAATGCTTACCTCTTTGAAGACTTCGCTATGTGAAACTTGCTCAAATCTCTACAGTAACGAAATGGAACATTGGTTAACCCTAACTGAAAGCACATTTCACAAAATTTCAAGGCACGCAGGGAGAGAAGAGAGAAAAAGAGATTGACCAATTTTTGGAAAAGATGAAGAGATGATCCATTTGCTTCTCCAATCTTAACACGGAACATATGGATCCCAAGGCTCTCGATCGCATAGGCCATCATCATAAGAACCGATTCCTTCCCAAGTCCTTTGCCGCGGCTACACACCAATCACATATATATATTCATTCACACGACATAGTTAAGGTCTATTGAGATTTTGACAAGCATGTGTGTCACTACTCACTACACAGAATGAAACAACACAAGGCACTAATACCTACCTTTTCGGTTCAGCTATCATAATCTCGACTTCAGCCATTTGTGGATCATCCAAGTCGTTCATATATATATTTACATCACCCACCATAGCTGCAAAAAGAGCATAAACGCACCATAGGAGAGGTTTTTTCAGATCATCAAGTTCCAAAAAATTTTAACCTAAACTGACATCAAAGCTTGAAGCTTTATCCAATACCCAGAAGAATTAAACTAAGCAGGAACTGAGAAAACAAGAATAAACAGCAAACTGAACTTACCTTCGACATGGGGATCTCCATGAACAAACCCTCCTTGGAGGAAATCCTTGTCCAGAACAATAAAAGTCCTTTCTGCAGAAACGAATAATGGTAAGGAAACCCACCTTCAAAATTGGAATTAGAGAATGGAGTGAGAGAGAGGGGGAGAGAGAGAGAATACTGAGAGGGTCTCGAGTCCAGGAGAGCTGCATAGTGTACTCTTCTTCGAGGGAAAGCGGGTCGGATCCTGTGGCTTGGAGCAGAGCCGGGTCCTGCATCCATTCGTGGTACCTGGGAACATGGGCTTCCATGTAAGGTACCAGTATCACCTTCTCTCCTTCCAAGCTCACCGCCGCCATTGATCAATCCGGAGGAGGAGGAGGAAGTAGAAATCAAATCAATCCAGTACTGAAGTTGATGGGAATCAGCAGTGGCGAGTACTGACTACTGAGTACCGGCTGCCTGCCCAAACTCGCTACTGCTTACAACGTTTTCTTTCAAGATACTTCACTGTGTTCCTTTTGGAGGATGGGCCAGAGACATTGTCCACTATCGATGGTGGGCCGTGGGCCCTGTGTCACAGCTACGTGCTTGTTCGCCACCAAACTTAGATTCGGTACAGATAACGTTCAACTCACTTTGCTTACCTTCAAAGCCAAACCACCAAACAATGACAAATCCTTTGAAGACCCTTTTGTAGATGTGAAAAATACACTTTTCCTATCTAGGCATTGATGGACTCGTGAAGGAGAAAGAAACAAACTCCTATGTCAAATCACTTTTTTTTTTCTTAGGCACGTCGATCAAAGTGATTAACTCCCATTTTTCTACATAATCATATTTATAATTACAACTATAATTGCATTAAATGCTTGTGATAACAAAGCAACAAAACTACGCTAAAGATCTCATGAATCTCAAACCATACGAATTTAGATTATCATTGGATACATCCAAAGAGAGATTGAGAACTTAGAAGACACTTGATCCAAAAAAAGTCATTGGCAACGATTCGAAGAGATACTAGGTAGACGCCTGAAGAAAGACAAAAAAGAGCAATGTATCCACATTTTACGGAATGTGTTGCGTGCCTGACCCTAGAAAGAATAGTTGATTATACGTGGCGGCAAAAGTCAATGAAAAAGTAGAAAATATGTCAGGACTAAACCGACCCATGAGTTGAGAGACCTTCTCACCTGTATAAGTAGCGGGAAGATGGCCACATTTAAGGAGGTGACATATTCTCTCTCTGTTAAGACTTACTCCTCTCACTAGAAGAGTCAACTGTTTTATCGCCGGAGTGCAAATGAATCAAAAAGACATGTGTGCTTCCCTCATAGGTTAACTCGAAGCCTTGGAAACTCCAATCTCAATCAAAGCACTGGACCCAAAGTATCTTGTAGAAGTCATTAAAATATCAATCTACTGCATTAAACTAAAGATGGCTCTTATACATAACTTGCTTAGACATATATACCACAACTGCACAAATTAATCACTCATGTTTGTTCTCATGAGTAAACATTGAATAAGAATTTTGGGAAAAGAGATGTCAATAGACATTCATTTCTCCTTAAGTACCACTCAACCCAAGCATAGCCACTAATTCCAACTCTAATTATTCTCCAACAAGCTAACCACCAAACCTCAACTCCTTTCCCTTCAAAGGCACGCTTGAACTACCTAAAGAACATAGAAGAGAAGAAAAAATTTAAGATAAAGAAGGGAAATGAGCGAAGCCACCATACCATTTCCACAAGGAACTTTTTGCTCACTACTAGCAATCATGAAGGAAGCCACTACTACTACTCTGTACTCATTTTACTCCAAAACAAAAGCATCCACCCTTCACAACCAAGACCCATAAAAATGTCCCCATAACCTTCCCTTTTTTCACTCCCCCTCTCATTCCTCTTCATTCCTTCCTTCTCACATCTCTTCCCTTCACTAACCACCATGCCATTCCTTCACTACTTTTGCCATCTCCATCTCCTCCTCCTCCTCATCTCCTTCCATGCCGACACCGCCTTCTCCGCCCGTTGTGCCACCTCCACGGCCAAGAAAGACTTCCAAAAATGCATGACTCTCCCCACACAACAAGCTTCAATAGCATGGACTTTCCACCCTAGTAATGCCACCTTAGACCTTGTGTTCTTTGGCACCTTCATTTCGCCTTCCGGATGGGTTGCACTAGGCATCAACCCGACATCAGCCGAGATGACTGGGACACGTGCCCTAATCGCCTTTTCGGATCCGAATTCCGGTCAGTTAGTCCTTCTTCCCTACATCCTAGACACTACAGTCAAGCTCCAGAAGACGCCCCTCGTCTCCCAACCTTTGGACATCCATCTCCTGTCGTCCTCAGCGGCCCTCTATGGTGGCAAGCTAGCCACCATCCACAATGGCGCTGCGGTCCAAATCTTCGCAACGTTGAGGCTCGAACCGAACCACACCAAGGTCCATTTCGTGTGGAACAGGGGACTATATGTCCAGGGCTACTCCCCAACCATCCACCCCACAACTTCAAACGACCTTTCCTCCATCTCCACAATCAACATTCTCTCGGGATTCACCTCATCGCAAATCGTACACAACACCAAGACGCTCAAAATGGTTCATGGAATCATGAATGCCATCTCGTGGGGTGTGATGCTTCCTTCCGGGGCAGTCACAGCTCGATACTTCCGCCACATCCAGTCCCTCGGACCAGCGTGGTTCTATATCCATGCTGGAGTGCAGCTCTCTGCCTTTTTTCTAGGGACCGTGGGCTTCGCCATCGGGCTCAAGCTAGGGAATTCATCCCCTGGGGTGACCTATGGCCTCCACCGGAAGCTAGGGATTGCGGCGTTCTGCCTTGGAGGACTGCAAACACTGGCACTGCTGTTCCGACCCAAGACCACCAACAAGTACAGGAAGTACTGGAAGTCCTACCACCATTTTGTAGGGTATGCTTGTGTTGTTATTGGAGTGGTGAATGTGTTTGAAGGGTTTGAGGTCATGGGAGCTGGAGGGTCTTATGGGAAGTTAGCATACTGCTTGTGTTTGTCAACGCTGATAGGAGCTTGCATTGCTTTGGAGGTCAACTCGTGGGTGATTTTCTGCAGGAAGTCTAAAGAAGACAAATTGAGAAGAGAAGGGATCATCTCTGATAAAGGGAGTACCGATCTAATCCATAGCTAGAAGGAACCAACAGATCAAATTTTGACTGAAACGAAGCATCTTTTACATTATGATATCATTATAATGAAACGAACCATCTTCTTCTGTGTTTGAATATAATATTGTGTAAGAAAAAAGTGGAGGAAAAGAACAACGGCGCAAAAAAAGTATAAGCAATTTGATAATAATAATAGTATTTGTTTATTTATGAGAAACCCTAGATGGGTATCTTTCAGAAAAGTTTTGTTCTCTCTAGCTGCACTAGAACATTCAAGCTCAACAATACAGACAATAATCCGAGGGGGATAAGGAATACAGCAGAGAGGAAAATATACCTGACAAGAATCCACAAAACTGCCAGGTATGCTACAAAGAGACCTTAATCGAAACCAAAGGAGAAGAAACAAAAGAAACCCTATGTAATCATATCCATTTTTTGGTATGGCTGCCGCAAGCTGATGTACATTTCACTCAAATAACCAAAAATGCTAAGAATCAAAGATAGAATCCCCCTACAAAGCACTCAAACAATAACATGATAGTCTCCCTTGTAACTTCTTCTATGTATTATCCCTAAAGCTTTTAACTTAAACTCTTCCTTCTTAAGACCAGGGCACTCCACAGTTCATCTCCAGAATAACCCCATGGTAAATCCTTCTTTAACTAAGACAGTAAATATACTTATCGAGGTAGGGGGAAATCTGTGGTAATACACAGTAATTTCCACCAGCTTCAACAGATTGATCCTCCTAGGTAGCAATTCCTGATTCAAACCAAGAGATCGCAGTAAAAATAATCCCATTAGAATCCCACCAATATAAGATGATAAAGAAGCAAATTTTTATTCAACAGATGGTGTTCTTAGTTTGTTACCTCTAGTTGCCTGTCTTTTATTAACACTATAGCCACCAACAAAACCAGGAGAAGGGCTTTTCACTGCAACATCTGAAGTTGTATTATTACTGCCAAGCGGAAGCCCCCCATCTCGCCAAGCGGGATCTCCATAATCTTCGGAACCACCACCTCCAACATAGAGATGATCACCTATCAATCCTCCATCAAACCCACCGCCCGACGAAGCAGTATGGTTCATCACACTGCTGCTTCTTCCTCCTCCATATCCACCTGCAGTAGACCCCAAGCTAAAGCTGTTCTCCCCACCGCCATATGAGAAATTCAGACTATTGTTGGGTACATTGTTGTTGCCTTCATCACCCCAGCTGATACCACCTCTGTTGCCAAATGTGTTTCCAGGTCCCGCATAAGCATCATCTAGACCAGCAGAGTTGGTAAGCCCTCCATTTCCCCACATGTTCCTAGTAACTGAGCTGAAGAATGAAGTATTTCCTCCATTAGTACTACCTGCAGTATCGTACCCTATTGGATTACCAAACCTATTTGTGTTCTCAATGTAATAAGGATGATGATTCATCATCCCCCTGAACCCGCCGTTAAAATTCCCACCACTCCCTCCATATGCAGCTTGACCCAAACCAGGCTCAAAATTCAAACCCATCCCATAACCCGAACCGAAATTGGGACCAAACCCACTTCGACTGGCAGCAACAGGACTGAACCTTCCTCCGTGGTCCATTCTAAGCCCATAACCAACTGTTCCCGGGTTATATCCTTGATTGTAACCACTAAGAAAGCTGCTACTAACCCTACCGAGACCATAGTTGTTTAGTGGAGATGTACCACGGCTTGGACCAGCTGGAGATAACTCCTTGGGGACTGCTCTCTTGACCTCGACCATTTTCCCATTGAGTTCATGGAAGGTCTTCAAGTGGAGGACTTTGTCAACTGCTTCCTCCGAATCGTATGTTATAAACCCGAACCCTCTTGGCCTCTGCGTGTTGTGATCATACATGACTACCACATCTGTGATTGTTCCAAACTGCTCGAAGTAGTTACGGAAATCGGTTTCTGTGACTGTGGATGCTAACCCTCCTACAAAGATTTTTCTGGTTCGGCCTGGACTTGGAGAACCATATTGAATAATGCTACTTGTAGTTCTGTGAAGAATGTTTTGATCATCCTTAGGAACAGCTTTCTTTGCCTCCACCTGATCAAATTGTCAAGTTACATCAAAGTCACGTTCCAATATTAATGATCTTTCATCACCAATCAATCATAGAACACTACCTACGGTCTACGGATACTTAAAAAAACATATAAAAGAGTTTCTTATCAACTCATTCTCAGGGATCAGACCATCGGATGCAATCAAACTTTCACCTAATGCTAGCATTGTTTTCACCAAATTCCAATATTCAAATTTGTCATGGTGATTATCATTTTGCATTCATCCGTTCTGTTAGTAATCTGATTCCAAATCAGGTCAGGTAAGTAAGATCACACCCACACAATAGAACTCTAGCTACGGACAGTTGAAGAACAAGAAACAGCTTCTTATCAACTAGTTCACACGATTACAGACCATTGCAGTCATGCTTTCAGTAATAATTTTGTGGTTTCAGCAAATCCCAGAGTCAAGCTTCTCATAACAACGAACATTCTGCATTTGAACCACTGATCAGTAGCGTTACGAACCTAATTCTAATTTGAACCAAGTACAATCACAACGAAGATAAAACTCTGCCTATAGATACTTAAACAGCAAAAAAGAGCTTCTGGTCAGCTCATTCGCTCGAGTTAGATCATTGTTAATACTAACCATGTTTTCAGTACATTTCGGAATCAAACATTCTAAAACAATAAGCATATTTCCTATATGAACTATCGATCTGGCGTCACTCATCTAAAGTGCTCCTCGCCAAGTAATTCACCACCGACTCGACCATTGCAATCAATCAAACTCGTCATTGATGCTGACGTTTGTTCATTAAACTAGGAAGAGAAGGGGAGGAAAAAGAAACTGACCATTCTTCCATCGATGTTGTGCTTCTCTTGAGTGACCCGCTCGGCGACGGCTCCATCGGCGAAGACCACGAAACCAAAGCCGCGAGCCCGACCGGTGGTCCGATCCTTCATTATCACGGCTTCCACGACCTCTCCGAACGACCGGAAGTATTCACGGAGCCGGTCTTCGTTCGTGTCCCACGAAATCCCGCCGATGAACAGCTTCCCATTCTCCGATGACGCTTGCATCTTCCCTTTCGTTTTGCCTAAATTCCAAAACTTTACCTGGATCCAATCAAAACCCAGAAACGGGGGGGACGATGAACGATCAAATCAAGCAAAAGCGATCGGAGGAAATGAAACATGGGTTATTCAATATCTTACCTCGAATGCTACTAAAAGAAAGACACAAGGACGCGATCAATCAACCAAACCTGCAAAATGAAAAGCAGGAAGACCCGGTAAGGGGAGAACGGAAAATGAGATTGGTAAATTCCGAATCGAGGAAGGACAAGAGAAGTCGAACCGATTTGAGCAGAACCCAGATGCCAAATCTGAGGGAAAGCACGGGAACCGAGATTTGAGAGGGCATGCTCATTATTTTCCTCCTCCCCTCTGCAAATCATGCCCTCTTCTTCCTCTTCCTCTCTTGTTCGAAATCTAGAATTGGGTTCATTAATTAAAAAATAATGAAATGGGATTTAATAATCATAGAAATGGGGAAAACGAGGAGGCGAGGGATGTCTGTGGCGTGAATTGTTGAGAACTAAATAGGTGGGATGGAGACTAAAATGAATCAGATAGAAGAAGATGGAGGAGGAAGGGGGAACTGATTTTTTTATCTTGATTTTTTTTATCTTTTTTGGTTATAGATATGATCTTGGGAATGGAATGTGGCGTTAGAATGGTGGTTTAATGTTCTAGTAGGCGGGGGAAAGAAAAGAAAATAGTTTAAATTGCTTGCACTCGAAGGCATAAGAGAAGAAAAATGGGGATGAAGAGTGTAAAGAGTAGGAGTTCGAGACAAAGAGTTTTGCTTAGCTTAGGGATGTTAATGGGTTGGATTTGCCAAATTCAAACTCAAATCCATGAATTTATTTGTAAAAATAAATTTGGGGTAAAACTCATTGGGTTTGGAAATCTCAAACTCAACCCGTTGGGCATCCGCGAATTTATGGGTGCCCATGGGTTTTTGTGATAAAAAATTTACAATAACAAGTTCCTATCAAAAAAAATTCAAACATCAATTTTCACATACAAATTATCCATTCATAAAACATCATTCTAGAAAATTCAAACATATCACAATTACACTAAATAAATTCACACGGAATAAGTGTAGTAAGAGTTAGATTAGAGAAAATTAGAATTAGGGTATGATTTGAGGAGAGTAGGGTGACGAAATAAGTGTGGACGGATATCCATGGGTCAGGTACCCCTAAATCCAAACTCAATCCAACCCAGTAAATAGTGTACGAATTTAAATCCAAACCCGACCTGAAACCCGTCAACACGAGTTTTCCCCGCATTAACCAAGTTGGGTCGGATAGAGTACTCACGAGTTCGGATTTTGTGGTCATCCCTAACTTTGTTGTCTAGTCTTCAAGCTTTTCTTCTTTCTCGGTCCGTATGTTGATTTATACTTGGAGAAGGGAGGGGGGAATAAAAACAGAAACGATACTACTGTTTTTTGTTGGGATTTTTATTTTCTTATATGATGAACATTGTAATTGATCAAAACTTCATATTGGATTTTTTTTTTAGCAAAATACATTTTCATAGTCATAACTTTACATTTTGTAACAAAGATAGCAAATCTCCTTCAATAATATATGGTAGAGTTTTGTGTAATTTTCTATATTTCAAATTTTCTGCAACGAGAGTGAAAGTAGGAAGGGCAATTTTGTCTTTACAATTATTTATTTATTTCATATAAAAAATGTCAATATTAAAGTCGGAAAAGCAGTAATGATATCATAGGAACCGGCGTACGTAAAGAGTGGCTCTTTGAACTCATGTCTATTCAAACAAAGACAACAATCACAACCAATTACACTAAACAAATTTGTTGTATTTTTTAATACAAAACATACACAAAGTGAAACTCTTAAAATCGGAGGACTTTTCCATCATAATTAGCAAGCCCACTAAGTTATCATATGTATTTTTATGATGCTTGATACTGCTATTTTCATAGCAGAGTTTCATGTAGTTTTCTCAATTCTAAAATTACTGCTCTCTCCTTAATTCTCGCTAAAGGTAAACTGGTAATTGGCTAACATGGAAGAAACTAATCATATTACTACGTGTTGTGTCCTTGCAATTTTCAATTTATATTCAAATTTAGTACTTTTTATTCTCTTTCTAACTTTCTCTAAAATTTCCTCCATCGTGCAATAGTTTGTGCCCATTTCACTTCACATTACAAGGTAGTCTTTGAACCAATCTTCTGGTATCTCTTGGCACTACGATTTTATTGTTGGGCAAGTAGAAGATTTTAACTCAGATATCAGTCCATGGCGAATAGAATGGAGTTCAATTAATGGAATCGCAGAAGGAGGATTAGAAATTGAATTTTTGGTTGAAACATATACTTCACAGTACAAGGCCGTCTTTGAACCAATCTTCTGGTATCTCTTGGCACTACGATTTTATTGTTGGGCAAGTAGAAGATTTCAACTCAGATATCAGGGATTTTTCCAAAAATAGCACTATTTAAAAAAATTTCCAAAAATAGCACCCAACTCAAAAAAATGCCAAAAATAACACCCTTTCCCAAAAACCGCCACCCAAACCAGCGGTTTTGGCAAAAACCGCACCCCGGGGGCGTGTTTTTCTATGAAAACCGCACTGGTAGGGTGCGGTTTTGCAAACCGCATGGGGCCGGGGCGGTTTGGTTGCAAACCGCACCCCCACCATGCGGTTTGTAATAGATTTTTTTTCCCCCAAAATAAGTATCAGAAGTGGACTTGGCACAACTGGTTTAGTCGTTTATTGTGTGCAAGAAGTCTTGGGTTTGAATCCCCACCATCCCATTTGATTTTTATTTTATTTTTTAGAGATTGAAAAAAGCAATTGAATCCCCACCATCCCATTTGATTTTTATTTTATTTTTTAGAGATTGAAAAAAGCAACATATTGTGGGAGTGGTGGATCTAACCAAGATAATAACTACTTTACTAAATTTAGCACAACATCTACACCACTCAACCACAACTCTTCTCTTGAAACAATAATATATTGACAAACTTGTACTCCTCGAAAGCTAAAAATCCTCAATAACTTTAAACAAACATAACTTTGTACTCCAAAATCCGAACGTCATGAACTATTTTTTTATTTTGCATAACTTTTTGAGGACTACAATATTATTCAAGAATAAATGGATGCTAGTTTTAGCCTCTGCATAGCATCCAGGAACATTATACTATGACTTTGGTGTTTAATACATCTCACATGTTTAGTAATGATACTCAAATTAATACCATCATAATCTGAGATTTATAGATCACATATGATATGAATCATCATTTGATATACTTAATCATTTCCATTGAGTACAATTATCGCCCAATACATCAAACACAACTAATGGTAAGATGTCATTTGCAAAAAAAGAAAGCCTAATGATTAGATGTTCAAATTATTTCATCAACTATAATACTTTCACTCGCAACCACATGGTTACTTGGGTGAAAATGGAAGTGCTCTTTGCTTTCTATACTTCGCCCCTATCATAAACAAGGTACCATAATTAAATAGAACAATGGTCAATTTATCAAACAGGAATATTTTTCCTACTTAGTTTTATTTTGCATAACTTTTTGAGGACTACAATATTTTGCATAAATCTTGTTTTGAAGATTCATTCCTAGTAAAAATTGTAGTCCTCAAAAAGTTATGCAGAATAAAAAAAAGTTCATTACGTTAGGATTTTGGAGCACAAAGTTATGTTTGTTTAAAGTTATTGAGGATTTTTAGCTTTCGAGGAGTAAAAGTTTGTCAATATATTATTGTTTCAAGAGAAGAGTTGTGGTTGAGTGGTGTAGATGTTGTGCTAAATTTAGTAAAGTAGTTTTTATCTTGGTTCGAGCCGGGTTATAAGCTAGTTTGAAAAATACACACAGAAATAGCAAAAATTTTGACAATGCCATGACAATTATAGCCATTTTGTAATAAAATCTAACGTCGTTCAGGACGCCGTCAGTTACCTGTTCGCATCACTGAGATGGCTGTCATTTGGACGCCACGTCACTGCCAACTAGACTAGAATTGCCACCTCCGCTCCACGTCATCCTCAGGAGAGAAATGGCATCGGGCAATTAAATCGCCCTAACATTTTTATTCCATCTTCCTCCAGAAATGGCCAAAATCCGGCTTCCATCTTCCTCCCAGTGGTAGCCGAAATCCGACCAAAATCCCTCGGCGCCATCGAAAACAGTGGTTCCCTCGTCGTCTCGTTGCTTGTCTCCCTTCCCCGTTGTAGATTTCTCCCACCTCTGGTTCAACTTTGGTTCCCCTCGTCGCTTCCATCTTTCCGTCGACGACTCCTCCTTCCCGCTCGCTCACAGTCTGCATCTCCCAGCCGATTGACGTCACAAAGGGGCAGTCGGGGTGCTTGCAAGAATGGCGTTGATTTGGGTTCAACAAGCATCAAAAGTGGGCGTTCTATCCTTTGCGAACACAATGTCCCAACTGTGATTAATACCTCTAGGACTGAGTTGAATCCAGGAAGGCAGTTCTATGGTTTTCGTTATTAGAAGGTAAGGCCATTTCATTGCAATTTTATGATTTTATATGTTTGTTGCCTAAGGAGGGATGATGCTTTGCAGGATGAGAAAGGATGTAGATGTTTTAGGTGGGTGAAAGGCAATGAGAATAAATTAGAGTCAAGGAACCATGAGATGGAGAGTGTTATCATGAACTCGGAAGAGAGATTAAGGTTGGCCGAGTCCAAGGCAGAGAGGAGGAAGAAGAAAAAAAAGTTGATGACGGTAGAACTAAGAAATTGGATGCAAGCTCGCCAAGTTAGATTAGCTGAAGAGATTCGGGTCATGAGATATATGCTGACTGTTTGTTGTTAATGAATGTGTTCTTGTTTGTGGTTCTGTGGATGAAGGATTGTGGCTTGTAAGTTCATTTTGAACCTGAATTTGATGATGTAATTTGATGTCGAACCTGAATTTGGCAATGTATTTTGATGTTGAACTTGAATGTGGTATGTAATTTGATCTTGAACTTGAATTTGGTATGTAATTTTGGTGTTGAATGATCATTTCATATGTACTTCGGAGGAAAGATTGTACCAGTTCTATATTTGATGTTCAACCTGCATTACTTGAAAAAAGAGATTGCATTACATAACTTGCATTACTTCAGCTAGTTAGTTTTGAACCCATAACATCACCATACATAAAGAGTTTACATTACTTCAGCTACACTGCACCTAACATAAAGAGTTTGCAAGACTCTCAGTCACACTACATCTAACAGAAAGAGTTAGCAATCCTTAAGGCTTCTTATAGCTATTACACGAGTCGACCAAAATAGCACCTAACAACCTTAGTTGGTGGCCAGTACAAAAAATGACTCAAGCTTGCTTTCATGGGTTCTAAGGCCTTAGTGGCTGGCTTCCAGGCAAATCCACCACAAAAGCTCGAGTTACAGGAACTGGCGGTGGATCTCCATGAGGTCGGCCATTATCCCCATTCGGCTACAAAAGTTGGAGCATAAACGAGTAAGTACTTAGGCCGTTTATTTTCAACAATTTCCAGCTTTAGAATTCAAATGACTCGCCCTAACATATTGGTTCCCCGTGTTCTCATTGACATAAACAATTTCAACAATTCATGTATCGCCTCAACCAAACCCTACGAAGAACAAGTACAATACAAATACAATTAGTGCATAACAAGTACAATACAACACTCCAATTTCATGTATAGCCTCATCGTACAGATCACCACCTTCTTCGTTTGACAAGTTCGGCCTGACGTGACTAGATTTCTC